ATATATATATATATATATATATATATTTACATTGAAATACAAAATGTTTATTTATTTATCTGTGGGATGAAATAATAATATTCATAATAAGTTGCTGCAGCCATCATGAAGCAACAATTAGGCATAATTTTCTTCCCTTAAATTATTGACTTGTGGAAGCTAAGCAAGATGGTGCACATATTATAAGCACTAGATAACACTATGTCAAGGTCCTTGTTGGCTTTTGTTCGTCATTTATAGTATTTTTCTTCGTTTAGGTATTGACCAAGTTAATGCTTTCATCCTTATATTTGATATTTGAGATCACTTGCTTCAAAGGTCAATGTTTCAGAAACTCTGTGCACACGGTTCATATTCCACCATATATAGAGTTAAGAGTTTGCAGAAAAAAATATTATCAACACGTACAAATACGCTTCACATTGTAGCCATAGGTGTTATCAAAATCTTCAAGAGTTAAATGCACGGCAAGGTCTCATTGATCACCTTCAAAACAAAATTCAAAGCTTCAAGCTTGAAATAAAATAAAATAAAATGTTTAAAAATTATTGGCAATAATTCCTCCAATACTACTGTGACAGGAATTTTGTATGTCAAGTGTTTGGACATTTCATGTCGAATATTTATATCGAAATTTAATTATGAATTTATACAAATATTAGAATATTTGAACGGCATTAAATTTGTTAAATGGATTATGGTTGAATAATAAACTAATATTTTACCTTTTCCCATAATATTTGACTATAAATATATTAATTTAGTAATATTTTTATAGTAATTCATTGTAAACATAGTGTTTCTAAACAAATTTAATTAATAAAGTAGTTAGATGTTTATTTTATATAACTAAAATTTATAATAAAATATATTTTTAATATATAAATTATATTATAATTAAAATTAGCAATAAGTAAATATTTTTAATGTATAAAATTTATATTTTATATTTTTGAAAAACAATTCATATTGTGATAGAAGTTTTTTAAAATATTAATTTAATTTAAAATAACTATAAAAATGATAAATTAAGAAAAGTGATTTAATTGGAAATGAAATCTCTAATTAATCCGATCTTGGTTTTAGCTAGCTCTTTCTTCTCGTGAGGCACTACGTATACGCTAAAAATAGAGTTATATTATATATTCTCACGCGCGTTATCCAACAAAAGTAACACTTATATACAATTTCTCAAACGCTATCTACGATCTACTTTGTTGATGAATCTTTCTTAATCTTAGAAAGGAAAAAATGTTTGTATTCTTATACTTAGGATTCGACTTCACTAAGCAAGTTACTTTATAGAATAAAATATGTAATCTTAAAAAAAATCAATTATTGATATTATTTGTTCATATACACATTGCAAATCATAGATGTATTAAAATATGTGTATCTCTAATTAATTAATAATAGACATTACCTGCTTTAACTATACTTATTACTTTAGAAGTCAGGACTAGAATTTCTTGTTTCAGAAAGTGAATTTATAAAATTAGATTAGATTAACCATTAACATATAATCTTTATTTTAGCACAATTTTTTTAAATTTAATTGTCAGAAATGAATATCTAAATCCACGTATTTATCAACATATGAAGTGCAAAAAGTAACAAAATTTGTATTGGTAATTATGTAATTCTAATTGAATAAAAAAAAATTGTGAAAAATATTTGCTTAGATTTACTTACATAGTTAAATAATCATTTTAAAGTAATTAAATTTATGGCATAAATTAGTGTTTTTTAAATATTTAAATTCTCAATTAATTTAATTTCACTCTTAACTTATCCGGAGGAGAAGTAATTAGTGATGTCTCTCAAATTGATGACCAATGGGAATCTTTCTTAATCTGATGACTAGAATTGATTAGAATTCAAAGTTTTAGACTATTCTAGGATTCTTTCTACTAATAAATGGTCGAGTCCTATTTTTTGCATGTCATTTTCAATCCCCTCCAATTAGTCTATCCGTAAAAGAAACAAACAATTAAAGGACAAGAAGGGGAAAAAAAAAGTAAGGGTTAAAAAAGAAAAGAAAAAAGAAAAGGTCCATAAAGACAAAGAAAGCCTCCATTCATATCTAAATCAACCATAATATAAGTGCTAGGCTTTGTACCAAAACAACACATAGCCCTTTTTCTGAAGAGAGAAGAGAATTTCACCAAATCCAGGGACTCTCTCTGAAGAATATGGGTTTGATGGAGTGCAATGTAGAGAACAACAACAAGAATCTATACCTTCATGCTCCAACTTTCATTGAGTGGCTCAAACCATGTTCTTCCCCTCCTTCATATCTAAATTCCAACACCACAATACTATCATCATCTTCTTCTCCTTCTTATTCTTCTTCTTATTCCACTACTCACAACAATGAGTTTGCTCGAGAAAAAACCATCCAATTCCTTCCCATTTTGAGTGACAAGGCCTCAAGAGATGATGAGATGGAGGTGAAGAAAGAGGAAAAGGTTGAACAAGTGACTGTGGCTTTGCACATTGGATTGCCTGAGACTAAAGGGCATCGTGATGATGATGATGAGAAGAAGATGATTTTCCATGTTAAGGAAGAAGAAGAATCCTCAAAGAGAAGCTTATTCCATGGATGCTCCTTCAACCAAGAGAGAAGGTTTTGGATTCCAACTCCTGCACAGATCCTTGTTGGCCCCATGCAGTTTGCTTGCTCCATATGTAGCAAGACCTTCAATAGGTATAACAACATGCAGGTTAGTTGAATTGGTTCTCAACTTCTCATATCATAAACATCAATTACTCTATATTTTGCACATAATTAAATTAACTTAATTAAAATTATGTAAAAAATTATACTTAATTTAAGCAATTCGATATTTATACTTCTTAACTAAAGATCTGGTTTAATAGATTGTCATTGAATGATTAAAACTAGAAGAGGAGGATGAGTTGCAACTGTGAATTAAGTGTCTAATTATTAGTACTGTTTTTTAAAGAAACTTGAAATAAAGATCAGAATAATGTATAACTCTTAAAGTGATAAGTGTTTGTGAAGAAGTCAAATGAAAAGCTTTTAAAGTATATATGTAAGTTGATTTTACATATTGTATGGAATTTTTTCATAAGTATATTTGTTGAGATTTTTTTTAACTGGGACTCTCTTGTGGAAATTATTTCTTGGATGTGAAGTAAATTTATTAAACACAGATCACCACGGTAAAGGAAGAAATATAGTTGCACGTGCTTCGTCTACCTTTAATTTGCTTTAAGGGGAACATGATCACAATAGTTACGATTTGGTTCAATTAAAACTCGACATATACTAATTAGCTTACGTGATTTCCCATTTCTTTTTCTTCTTTTTTTCTTTTCTTTTCTTTTTAAGAAATAAGGTTTCAAGATTTATTGTGTGGAATGTAATTAAGCTTAATTAGTATCAAATACTCTCTCAAAGACTTTGGCACCCCACCTACGAAAAACACTACAACAAAATTTTTTATTAACGACAATTATTTAATAGCAATAATTTAATTGCTGTCATATATAAAAATATTAATGGCTAATATATAATAGCCACTAAAAATGTATTTATATTACACTAAAGTTTACTATTAGCGACAATTATTTATTAGAAAAAACTTAAGTCTCACATCGATTAGAGATAAGATAATTAAATAGTATATAAGTGAGTAATAACTATCACCTTACAGGTTCATTTTATAGGGTTGATTCCTAATTCACTATTCTAAATTGGTAGCAAATCGCCCATTATTACCAAATTTAATAGTGTTATAAAATAATTAGAGAGCAACTTTCATCTTATAAATCTCACATTTCTTAAGAGACAAGATAATTAAAAAAATAAATTAAAAAATATAGAAATAAAAGACAACCCTCATCTTACAAATCCCACATCGAGTAGAGATAAAAAAAAAAGTATATAAGTTATGAATTTAGAAAAGAAAATTATAGGAATAAATTATTTAAAGTAAAGGAGACAATTAAAAAAATAACTTTTAATAGCCTTTAAAATGACTACTAGAATTGCCACTAAAAAAAATAAGTTTTCCCGATAATTTAATAGATCTTTACCAGCATTTTATATAAATACCGATAATAGTATTAGCGACATTGGATACACCAGCCTTTATTTAAATGCTGGTAAAAAAAATAGTGGCCATTTATATGGTCGCTAAATAATAAATTAATTGTAAAAAAAAAAAAAATTTGGTGTAGTGAAACTTGGTTGTAGATTTCATCATTCACCTAAACGATGGCTTCAATTTCATATTAGGCAAAAAAAAAATGGTTTCGAATATAACTAATTTTTACGTCATTTGGAAATTCGTTAAAGACAAATAATAATATTAATTATTATTATTATTATTATTATTATTATTATTATTATTATTATATTATTCACAATTATATATCATGAGGGATAATTATCACCTAGCATGCATTTCAATTTTATACACATCCAGCAAACATAGCCCTGGACATCCCTATAGTGAGTTAGCTTAGCTAGCTAGGGGCTAGGTATTCACGAAAAAAAAAAACTATGATGAAAGTGTTCTTTCTGTTCCATAATTCTTGCAACTATATCATGTTTATTTTAGTTTGATTCGGTTCGATAAATAGTACTTGAATTTGTTCTTAATTTGACGATCACTTGAAAAAAAAAAAATTCTTGACATAATATTCCATCGAAACCAAACCTATGAAAATAGTCAATGTTTGTTTTATTTTTCCACAACTACTCCTTAATTTTGTACATCATTCCATAGTTTTTCATAGCTTCTGTGCAAAAAAACCTGCTGAATTTGAATTCTCTGCATTTTGTCCACGCCAAAAATGAAGTAGATGCTTTACATGATAATGACAACGAAGACAATCATTAAGAAGAAAATAACTACATAGTTCAACTTTAGTAAGAACGTGAATATTACCATTTGATCATCCTTTTCTCTCTCTCTCTCTCTCTCTTTTCACTTTCTTTCTCGATCACTTTAAGAAAATTGAGGTAGATATGGCGTACGTGTTGTCCTCTAGCATTTCCTACACTTTTTTATGAAAGGATGTTTTTTTCATCACATAAATTTCAAAGGGATCGTAAATTGTAATATTCTTCATGCATATATGATTTTATTTTCTTTCCAATTGGAGTTTTTAAATATGTGGGGGTGAAGGTGGCATGCATAATTTACCACAGTACTTAGATATATACATAACTATATATTAAGCCAATATTCAGAAAGAAAACTACTTAAAACCTTGAATTTTAATTTCGTTTTAACTAGTATATTCAGAGGATTTCTCTTTTAAATAGAGCGATATACATTTCTTTATATATTCCATGGGGCTAGCCGTAGCTTTTTGACGAGAATTTGACATGTTAGATCCATCAATAAAGATTAACAATTTATTACCAACAATGGCCTCTCAGCTTTAAATTGGTCAAATTTAGTAGGCTTGATTATTTTTAAAACAGGAAAATAAAAATGAAAATAGCCAACATTTCTATACTTATATATTTGCATAAATAAAAATAACAAAAACGTTTGTTCAAACTAAATAAATTGTTAAGATTAATCTGTATAAAATTGTCCTAATTTAATTAATAATCTCAAATTCAAATTTTAGATATTCAAGTGTGTTAAATATTTAAATGAAAAATTTTATTGTTCATAATGGTCTTATGCTTGGTTCAAGCTGAATTGCTTTTGACAAGGATTAATGTAACTCATTTTGATTTGCAGATGCATATGTGGGGGCATGGATCAGAATATAGGAAAGGACCAGACTCACTGAAAGGAACACAACCAGCTGCAATGTTAAGGTTACCATGTTACTGCTGTGCTCAGGGTTGCAAGAACAACATCAATCATCCAAGAGCTAAGCCATTGAAGGACTTTAGAACCCTCCAAACTCATTACAAAAGAAAGCATGGCACAAAGCCATTCATGTGCAGAAAATGTGGCAAAACATTTGCAGTCAAAGGGGATTGGAGGACTCATGAGAAGAACTGTGGCAAGTTGTGGTATTGTACTTGTGGCTCAGACTTCAAGCACAAAAGATCCCTTAAGGATCATATTAGGTCCTTTGGAAAGGGACATAACCCTCACCCTCCCTTTGAAGCTTTTGAGGATGAGAAGGAATGCATTACTGGGTCTGATGAAGATGAAGTTAATAATGCTCATCATACATGAACATGATCTAACATTCTATAGCTTAATTTCCTTAATCATGAAGATATAGTAGTAGCAAAGTTTTAAATTGCAGCTGCAGTTGCAATATGAAATTGCAGACAAATGAGCCTGATGCAGCTGCAATTAAAACTTTGAGTAATAGTAATAGTAGTCATAGTAATAGAGTTTGATCACTACGCTAGTGCTCAGTAACAAAAAATTCTTAACAACTGCTGAGGCGTGAACACTCAGGGAAAGGTTTGCTACCGAGCACTATTGCATGGTGGTGATGAGCTATGATCATAGAGGTTTGGACTAGTTTTGCTTTTGCTTAATTAATAAGATGGTTGCCTCAAGTGATGAAGCAGATGAATTTTCTTCATGTAGCAACATGCAGAGAGTAGTGTTGTATCATGCTCAGTTATTTGTAACCTCTTCAATGGAGGAAATTTATCCGCTTCATTACTAAATGGTAAACCTCATTCAAGGACTTTATAGTATATGTAAAGTCTTTGTTAATTAAATCTTTGTGATGCTTTGATGTGAATTTAATTTGCTGCTATATATGGATAACCAACGTGTGCTAGACTGATATATGTGTTTTACTATATAGAATCTTCTTTTAGCAATGCTACATGTGAAACAAATTAAGATGGCTGAGTATATGCGGCGTTGTATATATATGGCCATGACTTTATAGATCCAAATTATTTATTGGTTTAAATATAAAAATGATTTTAATCTTTGTGATGAATTTTAGTTTTAATCTTTTCTTAATTATTGACCGAGTCAAAATTTACAATTTGAAATAAAAAGAAAAATAAAATTCCTTTCTTAAGAAATTAACTTCAGCACCATTCAGGTCAATAATTTATTAGTAGAATAATGTTATTTATTTACATATTTTGTTTATTTTTTTTCTAATCACATAATTTATTCTTGATTTTCTTTCACTTAACTTAATTTTATTAGAAACTATTAGAAACATTATTCTTAACCATTTTATTATACAACAATATTCTGTTCAATTCTGATAATAATGCAGATGTGTGAAGATGTGAAATATGATACAGACAACCATTTTCAGTAAAAGAACCGTTCAATTATTATGCAGGAAGGTAACATTATCCTAATCCATAAAATTTTTATGATGTTTGCAACTTTCGTAGGAGTGTAATTATTAACTGCCATTCATTTGAGGAACATTAAAATTAAAAGTGCTTATCCATAATGCATGATCTGTTTTTCCCCTTTACCCCAAATAATTTACGAGAAGAGGAAAAAAATAAAAAGCTTACAAATTTAATTAGAGTGGGCTCAATGTCGATCCACATCAACAAGATAATGGTTAAAAAATAAACACTAAGTTCATATATGTGTGAAATTAATTAAGTGGTGCACGTTGGGATTAAATTTTTTTTTTCTTACAAAGTAAAATACCTGCTCTACTTTAAGATCACTGAGTCCATTTTGGGGGGCTTTGCTCACCAAATCATCCACCGATACATAGCTAGAGATTAATTACTCAATAAAAAATAAGAACCCGATATAATTAATTAGTATGATTCCATGTCTCCTCCTAAATTAATTAGATTATAATTATTTGTTGGAAAAAAATCCAAAGATGGTGATCATATGCATGTTTGTTTGACAAAGAGATCATGAGTTATATAAGGACCCTTTTGTTTTATATACTATATAAAAATTCTTTAACACGTGAGGAAGATAATTAAAGGAAGAGAATAGAGTTTGAAATTTGAGTTTTTTTGAGGTAGGCTTGACCAAAGCAAAAAGTAATGAAAAAGAAAATAGTGTGTATTTGGTCTTGAAAATAAGGGACCTCCCACTAAGTTTTGTCGGGGTGAGAAAACGTTGGAGAGGGGAAATATCACAATCACACTATGTTGAGAATTGCATTAATTCTTTAGTTTATTTAATTTGCTAAGGAGTTAGTATATAGGTAATAGGTGCATTCATATTTAAAAGTTACACTTTACTTTCCCTGTGGTTAGGCTTCTATAAGCGACTCATGGTAGTTAGGTTAAGTTAATCTGAATCTGTGATACCTTTGGCAATATCCTGCGCAATTAAAGTATCTATTCCATCCCATGTCGTCTCAGTGGTCAGAATTAAAAGTAGGTTTAGGGTTTCATCCAACCCTTAGTTTTTAGTTAATATATACCTCGGATCTAATTATAAACGTCTTGCTTTAATTATACTTCTTTTTTTACTTTATAGTTTCATATATATGTATCAACCTGGCTAATGCTGACCTTAACCGAGTTCACTAGATAATTCGGACCGAGATAACCATTCGTGTAAATTAGGATAAACATATGAAATGCCGAGGTGTAACATTGGAGAAAGAAGACTGGTAATACACCTCGGCACACCGAGATGACGTGGCTTAACCGCCAATAACCTTCAGATAATAACCAAACAACAGTTACACGGTTACACGAGGACAACAACAGGTAATAATATAAGCAGTACATGACATGGGAGAAAGGGAACTAACTTGATCGTCAGAATCCTTTTTGCAGGTACATCTGAGGACCTCAAGAAGAAGATCGGAGATCGCGAAGAGAATTGAACCTGGGGAAGAAGGCATCTCATACCAAAAGACGAGTTGATATCGGTGACATTGGTAAGAACATTTGGCGCTATAAGGAGGGCCTGGTAAAATTCCCCCTCCGACCACCTTATGGTGTCAACTCGGAGCCAAACCCATAACATGGACGAAAACGCCACTTTGAGGCGATTACTTGAGCAAATCGAGTTGATGCAACAGCAACATGCAGCAGCGATGGAAACCATGCGTAAACAACATGAAGATGTCTTGCAACAATTACGTGCAGAAAATGCAGCCTTTCGCGCCCATGCACAACATCATCATTCCCCTTCTCCTCCTCCTCGGTCTAGCCATGTTCCAACGGCAACCGAAGAGCACCATTCCACTTCAGATCCTACTTATATTTCAGAATCTTCCCGAACTCACCGTTCTACGCATACTCATACTAGTCGGGCAACGTATGACCATCATTCTTCTCAGCGCCACCCCTTCGTGGATGGCATCATGGAAGTTCCCCTACCACCGGCATGGAAGTCACTGAACATCGAACGGTATGATGGAACAACTGATCCTGACGAGCATATTGATGCATACGTCACTCAAGTCAATCTTTACACGAATGAAGACGCCATCATGTGTCGTGTCTTCCCAACCTCACTTAAAGGCGCAGCACTTAGTTGGTATACCCAACTTCCACCCCGTTCTGTGAACAACTTTGACACCCTGGTACGACTTTTCTCAGCACAATACGCTACAAGTCGGCCTCATCATATAACATCAGCGGCATTGTCCAACCTGAGGCAACGAGATGACGAATCCTTAAGATGTTTTATGGAACGCTTTGCCAATGTCTCCATCAAGATCCGTCATCTTAACCCGGAAGTCGCCCTCCATTCCATGTTGATGGCTCTAAAACCTGGACCTTTTGTGGATAGTCTGTGCAGACATCAGCCAGCAAATATGGACGAACTTAGAGCCCGTGCAGCAGGGTATATTCAGATGGAGGAACACGCCGAATTCCGCAACACCATCCGAGAAAGTCTCTCTAACAAAGGTGAAGCTAGCGGTAGCGGTAAAGAGAAATCTAAAAGTTATTTTACGGACCAAAAATAAAAAAAACCACGCCACGCGCGTGGTCCCAGGTTTGACTTTTATACACCTCTTAACGCCCCTCGTGTTAATATTTTGGAAGAGGCTAACCATGCAGATTTGATATCTCTACCTCCCCCAGCACACAATCCGCCCAACGCTGATAAAAGCAAACATTGCCATTTTCACCGGAATCACGGGCACACCACGGAAGAATGCTGGACTCTTAAAGATCGAATTGAAGAGCTTATTCAAGCAGGACAACTTGGACAATATATTCACCGAGGTCAAACTTCCCGTGGAGGCTTTCGCGGTCGGGGACGTGGTCGTGGACGATATCAAGGTGGACGATACCAGGATTACCAAGGTCGTTTCGAGAACAATCGTTACAACAATACAAATCCACAACAAGAGGGTAAACCGAGTTCCAATGGCACTGATCAACAGCGTACTGAAAAACCCCCTGAGGAACACACCATACGTGGTGTGATCAACACCATAGCCAGAGGTTTTGCTGGAGGTGGAAGTTCCAATTCGGCTCGAAAATGCCATCTTCGTACTATCCACAGCATCAATAATTGTGACCATGCTGAGTCGAAGCCGACAACTCCAAATCATCCTATCACTTTCACTGATGAAGATTATGAAGGCGTAAGCTTAAACCAAGATGATCCCATGGTCATCTCGGTCGAAGTTGCAAACTGGGAAGTTCACAAAACCTTGATTGATCAAGGAAGCTTTGCTGATGTGCTATACTAGCCGACCTTTCTGAAACTTGATCTCCCACATAGTTTAATTCAACCATACTCGGAACCCCTTGTTGGTTTCGCAGGTGAGCGCGTCCATACTCGTGGTTTTATTGAACTATTAACCTCTTTTGGCACAACAACAAATTCCAGACGTATCTTAGTCAAATACTTGCTAGTGGATGCTGTCACTTCATATAATATACTCATTGGAAGACCCACCTTAAACAAACTTGGAGCGGTTGTGTCTACCCTTCATCTCTCCATGAAGTTTCCGGGGATGAATGGCCATATAGTGACTGTTAAAGCCAATCAACAAGTGGCACGAAAGTGTTATGCTGAGAGCTTGAAGATTCACCCTGTCACAGTCCCACCCAAAGTATCCAATTCCACCATGGTAGCTCATGTTAACCTGACAGCCACTACCGAGTTAGGTCCTCGAGTTGACATGCATGATCATTGTCCAAATCCTACTGACGAGTTGATCAAATTCCAGATCGGCAACACAGCCACCCAATGTACTCGAATTGGCCAATGCATGGATCCAGACATTCAAGGTAAAATCATGGCACTTCTCACTCACAATGCTGACCTTTTCGCCTGGACTAGTGCAGATATGCCTGGGATTGATCCCAACTTCATTTGTCATAAATTGGCAATTTATAAGGAAGCAAAACCTGTATCACAAAGACAAAGGAAGCTCGGTGGTGAGAGGCATGAAGCAGTGAAGCTTGAAACTCAAAAGTTTTTGGATGCAAGATTCATCAGGGAAATTAAATATACTACTTGGTTAGCCAATGTAGTTATGGTCAAGAAATCCAATGGGAACTGGCGTATGTGCGTTGACTACACAGATTTAAATAAAGCTTGTCCCAAAGATTCATATCCACTTCCCAGCATTGACAGGTTGGTTGATGGAGCCTCAGGTTACGGTATGCTCAGTTTTCTTGATGCATATTCAGGTTATAATCAAATCCTTATGTATCCTCCAGATCAGGACCATATTGCCTTTATTACTGAGCGTGCCAATTACTGTTACCGTGTTATGCCTTTTGAACTCAAAAATGCAGGAGCAACTTACCAACGCCTAATGGATAAGGTGTTTGCTAAGAAAATCGGACGCAACCTTGAAGTCTACGTGGATGATATGGTAATCAAAACCAAATCTCCTGCTGAGCATGTTCAAGACATAGCTGAGATTTTCCAGCAAGTCCGACAACATAACATGAGATTAAATCCCGAGAAATGTGTTTTCGGGGTCCAAGGTGGAAAGTTCTTGGGATTTATGATAACATGCAGGGGAATTGAGGCGAATCCTGACAAATGCCACGTTCTGATTAACATGCGCAGTCCACAAAATCACAAGGAGGTGCAGAGGTTAGCAGGTCGACTGGCTTCACTATCTCGATTCATTCCCAAGATGGCAGAGAAAGCCAAACCTATTTTCTCCCTCCTTAAAAAGCCAAAAGATTTCCAATGGGACGACCGATGTGAACAAGCTTTCGCCGATTTCAAGGAATTCTTATCTGCTCCTCCCATCTTGTCTAAGCCGCGCAGCCAAGCTCAACTTTTGCTATACCTTACTGTAGCTGATAATGCCCTTAGCGCAGCCCTTAGCGCAGCCCTTGTACAAGAGGATGGTAAAACACAAATTTCCATTTATTTTATCAGTCGTGTTTTGCAGGACACCGAGAAATGATATCAAACAATCGAGAAGTTGGTGTTGGCATTGGTAACCTCGGCTCGTCGACTTCGTCCTTATTTCCAGAGTCACCAAATTGTGGTTAAGACCGACTATCCCATCAAGCAGATACTCAGAAAGCTCGATCTAGCAGGGCGAATGACAGCTTGGTCAATTGAATTGTTCGAGTATGATATCAGATATGAAAGCCGGGGACCTCTTAAGGCTCAATGTCTCGCTGACTTTATAGCCGAGCTCACACCCGCAGTCCAAACAGAAAGTCCAACTTGGATTTTGCATGTAGATGGATCGTCCAATGTTAAAGGAAGTGGTGCAGGCATAATTCTTGAAGGACCTAACAACATGATGCTGGAATTAGCCATCAAATTCAATTTTCAAGCCACCAACAACCAAGCTGAATACGAAGCACTTCTGGCAGGTTTGAGGTTAGCCAAAGATGTCGGTGTTAAAAGGTTGATATGCTGTAGTGATTCAAAGCTGATTGCAGAGCAAGTAGGAGGAAGTTACCAAACAAAGGAACCACAACTCCAAAGATACAATTTAATGGTAACTCATTTAACTTCTTCCTTTGATGATTTCCAGATCAAACATATTCCTAGAGAGCAAAATGCCCGAGCTGATATGTTATCCAAGCTTGCGTCCACCAAACGCCCTGGGCAACACAAAACAATCATACAAGAAACCATCAGTGCCCCGAATCAAGATTTTCTGGCGATATCCACTGATGACCAAGGACAATCAACTTGGATGTCGGATATCTGGAAATATCTCACAGATGGAATTTTACCAGACAACAAAGCTGAGGCATCCAAGATCAAAATCAAGTCCGCTCACTTCCAAATTGAGGCTGGTGACTTATTCAAAAAAGGTTTCTCAACCCCTCTTCTCAAATGTCTAAACCCAGACCAAGCTCAATATGTAATGGATGAGATACATCGTGGTATTTGCGGAATGCATTCTGGTGCTCGCTCCATGGCAACTCGGGTTATCAGAGCTGGTTATTGTTGGCCCACAATGAGAGCAGACTGTAAAGTGTATGTGCAGAAATGTAAAGCTTGTCAAGAATTTGGCAACTTACACCAACTACCTGCAACAGCATTGCATTCCATGCAATCAGCTTGGCCATTCGCATGGTGGGGAATGGACATACTTGGTCCTTTCCCAATTGCTAAGAATCAATTAAAATTTCTAGTTGTAGGTATTGATTACTTTACAAAGTGGATTGAAGCAGAGCCTCTTGCAAAAATCACAGCAGCCAATGTCTAGAAGTTTACATGGAAGAAGATCATCTGTAGATATGGCCTACCCCAACCAATTACCACCGACAATGGCAAGCAGTTTATAGACAAAAACTTCGAACAGTTCTTGAAACAACTGGGAATCAACCACAAAGTAACTTCAGTCGAACATCCACAAACAAATGGACAAGCTGAAGCGGCCAATAAGATTATTCTCAGGGAACTTCGGAAAAGGTTGGGCACAACAAAAGAAGAATGGGTGGAGGAATTCACCAACATCTTATGGGCATACCATTGTACTCCACAAACCACCACTTAGGAGACCCCATACAAATTAACTTACGGATCCGATGCTATGATCCCAGTTGAAGTCGGTGAACCAAGTCACAGACGATTAACTTTTGACGAAACTCAGAATGTGGAACAACTCATATTGGATCTGGATTTGCTTGCTGAAACTCGGGAATGTGCCAAGATACATGAAGAAGCTTGTAAGCTTCGCGCTGCAAGACGATACAATTCAAGATTGAAGCCGAGGTCATTCCGTGAGGGCGATCTCGTATGGCGAGCCACCGGAGATGCCCGAAAAGACACATCGGCAGGAAAGTTTGCAGCAAATTGGGAAGGCCCCTTTCGAATCTCGGAATGTTTACTTACATTTACAGCTGAAGTTGAATGGAATGAACTGGATCCTCTTCAAGGAGATTGTTGTATTACTCGCGAGAACACTACGACCCCAAGTCAACCTTCAAATGTAGCTGAAGTGTCTTCCGCGCCTAAACCTACTGTTGGAGGTTGAAGCTTCCGAAGGATACATTGTGAATATAAAAGGGAACGTGGTACTCCTTTCCTGCTGAGAACCTATGACATCCAGCCATCTCCCTTTTGTATCCTCTCTGCATAGTCCTGGAGGTTGGATTGAAGGTTCCATGAAGATGCTTTCTCATGTTTCTCCAAGTAAATATTACATAACCTAAGCGACCTTAGTTCAAGAAAAAAATTCTTTCTGCTTTGCTGAACCCTTTGTATATTATTGTAAGTCTTGGTTTCTAGTTTACTTAGCTCGATGTCTTATGTTTGGCAAGCAATAAAAACACTTAGGAATGCAAATTGAAAGAGTTACGCTCCCGGTCAATGTTATAATAACGTATCACTATTCGTCAATTTCAATTGTTGCAATGCTTGCAATTCAGCACTGTTGTTGAAATGACAAAATTTCATCTGGGAGTCTACCTTCTCGCTTCTCTGTTCCTCCCTCGATATCCCAATGTGAGGTATATATAACCAGCAACTTACTAGTAGCCATATACCGATTCTATTAAAATGGAGGATGCAACCATGCAAGTGAATTATAGCAATGTCAGTGACGTACACTTGGCGAATAGGTTTTTTTTTATTTTTTAATTAAACCATTTTCATTTTCGTTATGTAATAAGGATGTACATGCCCAAGTATGGAAAACATGTCCAAATGGCAATGGAAATGAAGATACAATGTAGAAGCACATTACAGGGGAACACTGTTTGGCATCTGAAGGTATGACTACAAGCTAATTATCTTTCTCCACCTTCTTTCCAATCCAACCAGCCACAATTGGGGTAAGAGCTACTGTGGGTGGAAACCTAATAGGAGATGCAGCTTTATGTGCAGCATATGCCAAAGCAAAGGTACCAACTTTTTCGCCAGTCGCGTCAGTTGAGATTCCAACCTGAGGATAAACACGCAATTCATTAATCCGAAGCAAATATAGTCTTAAACTAGTTTGCAATCTACAATAGGTTTTGTTTTAATGTTACACCTTCTGCAGTAAACTTTGGACATCAATTCCAGCGCTGATCAATGCATAACAAAGTGCGAAAGAGATCAATGACAGAGTAATGGAGGTTGCCAAGTATGCTCCTCCATATTTTGCAAGCAATTCCTTGGCTTGATCACCCTTCGATTTCTGTTGGTCAGAATTGCCCTCAACATTTCCTTCCTCTTTGGAGCTGAAAATCTGCGACAGACCATAATTTTCATTTTAGAGATACAAAAAGGTACCGAATACTGATTCAATACTTAACATTCCTCAAA